GTGACTGAGGCTTTGAACACAGTGGTAGCCCAGCCTGGGCACTGGATGCCACGCCAGCCATGTTCCCTCATGATCCTGGATGGTGGGGGGAAGCCGGCCTGTGGGACAGCAGGCTGACCAGGCCCCATGGCTTCAGGGCCTGTGGAAGTGGCAGGTCATGGAGGCTGAGTGGTGGGCTGTGTGAGGCCTGAGGCCAGAGGCGATGCTGGGGTTCAAGGGAAGGGGAGGGAATGCCCCAGCTGTTCTTCAGATGTGGCCCAGGGACAGCAGGGGGCAGCAGAGGACATGGCCTTTTGACTACTGTCCAAGGGAGTCCTCCAGGGAGTCAGGGGACTGTGGAGGAAAGTGCTACCGTGTGCTGAGCCTGTTTTGGACAACCTGCCAGGTGCTTTTCAAGGGCTACCTCACCACAACCCTGCAGGAAAGGGGTTTACTAGCCCATTTTACAGATGAAGAAACAGGTTCAGAGAGAGAAAGCACCCTGCCCAGGGTCACACAGCTGGTACATGGCAAACTCAGGATTCAAATCCAGCTCCGTCTACCTGCAAAGCTCCTTTCTTGCCACTTCATTATATGCCACTCACTGAGGGCTGAGTGGGGACATGCTGGTGTGGAGGGAGCACAGGACAGGCCCAGCTGGTTGAGATCAAGGACCCTCTGAGTGGGAGGTGAGCTCCGAGGACTCAGTCTTGATGCATCAAATACTTCTGAATGTCTGTCACACGCGGGGCATTGTGCTGAGCACTGAGGGAAATCTGGGCCCTGCCTTCTAGAAGCTCTACCAGTCATTGGCACGGTGGTCCCATTACCTTCCTGAACTACTCTCCCCCTGCCTTCCTCCTCACTGGGCTCTACCCCATCTTGATCTTGCTTGTCCCCAAGCACACCAAGCATGCCCTTGACCCAGGGTCTTAACTCCGGGAACACTCCCTGCTCCCCACGTATCTGCGGGGCTCACACCTACCTCTTCCATGTCTTTGCTCAAATGTCGATGCCTTGGTGAGGTCCCTACTGACCACCCTATTAAAATGGTAACTCCACCCCATTCCTGTCCCGCCCCAGGCACTGATCACTGTCTGACCAGCTGGCTATCTCACTTGCTGATTATTGTCTGTCTCCTTCATGATAATGGGAGCTCTGCAAGGGCAAGGTTGGGTCTGCTTGGGTCACTGCTGTGTCACTGGAGCCTAGAACAGGGCCTGGCATACAGCAGGTAATCAAAAAGTATTTGCAGAAGGAAGGAAAGGAGGGAGGAAAGGCCCAGAGGACCCAGTCCACCTCCATCTCTGAGAGGCGTTCATGAAGGGAGGGGGCATTTGGGCTGGGCTTTGAAGGTTGCATAGGATCCCTCTGCATGGAGATGGAGGCTGTGCATGGAGAAGACTCATCCAAAGGTGGTGGGCTGGAGGAAGAGCACCCAGAGGCAGGGAGATGGCTGTGGGACAGCCTCTGCGGTCTAGACCTGGGCAATATGCAAAGCCTTGCCCACAGTCTAGACACAGGCGATACGCAAGTCCTGAACAAGAGAAGAGTGGCAGAGGGGCCAACTCTGGCCTATCTTCTTGGGCACCTGTCCCGTGATCAGACTGCCAGCAGGGGGCAGGGCAGCAGAGACCTTTGCTGCCCTGTCTTTCTGGTCTTCCAGGGTCTGGGGAGGAGTTCGAGGTCCACATGTATCCAGAGCAGCTGGTGGTGGAGCCCGGAGGGTCCCAGCTGGTCAACTGTAGCACCAGCTGTGCGAACCCGAAGACCGGGGGCCTGGAGACCACACTCACCAAGACCCTGAACCAGTCCGGACCCCAGTGGAAGCAGTTCTTGGTCTCTAACATCTCCCAGGACACCATCGTCCACTGTCACTTCACCTGCTTCGGGAGTCAGAAGTTGAAGAGTCTTAACGTCAGCGTGTTCTGTGAGTGCTGCCCTGTGGGGCCCTCCTCACCAGGCAGAGCCCGTGTCTGCTGTCTGCAGAGCTACCCTGGGCACTCGCTCTGGCCCCCACCCCGCTGGGCTCCCCCTACTCCCCCACAAATAGCAGGGTGCCAACAGAAGGGCCACCATGCTCTCCAGTCACCCCTTTGTCTCACGGAGAGAAGGTTAACGCATCACCTGGTCCTTTTATAGTCCTTTTTTTCTTTCTTTCTTTTTTTTTTTAAAGATTTATTTATTTATTTGAGAGAGGTGGGTAGGGAGAGAGGGGAGAGGGAGGGAGAGAGAATCCGGGACAACTTGGTGCTGAGCATGGAGCTGGACTCAGGCAGGGCTCGATCTCACAAGCCTGAGATCATGAGCTGAGCCAGAACTGAGAGTTGGATGCTTAATCGACTGAACCACCCAGGCACCCCTGCTTTTATATTCCTGAGGGCCCCTGGCAAATGTGGGACCATCACCCCCACACACACACCTGCACACAGGCCGGGGAGACCTTCCCAGAGGGCAGGATTCTCTCAACATCTTGGCACCAAGGCTATGGCTTGGTGCTCCCCATGACCAGCATCAGGGGATCAAGTGAAAAGGAACATGTCCTAAATCCAACATATGACCTCGGGGCGAGGGGGGCAGGGTGTCCAGGCTGCCACTGAGGGTCCCGTTTAATAGACAAGGGATGGCAGTTCTAACTAAGCAAGGCAGGTCGGACTCCAGCCCCCACCCCTTAAGTGAAGACCCCACAACCCTTGGCCCAGTTCCAGTGAGCACTCCCTTTTTAGTCTCAGGACAATTATCGAGCTGTTTGATATGGAAATTTATGTTTGATTTCTGGAAAAGGAGACAGATCCAAATTTTTTTTTGTTCCTAGTCGACTGTACAATTTCTAGACCTCCTCTTCATAGACCCCTGACCACCTCGATTCTTGTCGATTCCAGAAAACGCCATGTTGGTAAAACTCCAAGCCCATCCATCCTTCACCTTGAACTGCTTCCTCCTCCTCTCCTTGTGCTCTAGAGCAGGCCAGGCTGGGGCCCTCCTCCCCATGTCTAGCCGAGGCCCCGAGAACACAGCAGTGCCGGGGGCAGGGTGGGGAGCCTGGGACTACACGCTCACCCTGACCAGCCCTCCCTCCTCCTTCCCTGCAGACCCTCCCAAGCAAATGCTCCTGAAGATACAGCCCACGTGGGTGGCTGTGGGGAAGTCCTTCACTGTCGAGTGCCACGTGCCGGATGTGAAACCCCTTGAGAGCCTCACTCTCACCCTGCTCCGTGGCAAGGAGACCCTGTGCAACAAGACCTTTACGGGGGAGAAAAATGACACCCAAGGAGCCACGGCCACGCACAAGGGCATGGCTCACAGGGAGGACGGCCGCCACAACTTCTCATGCCACGCCCGCCTGGATCTGCGGTCTCGCGGCGGGGACATCATTCACCAGGTCTCCGAGCCCCAGATGCTCAAGGTCTATGGTGAGGGGCACCCCCAGGATGGGAGGGGTGGGAGAGGACAATCGCTTTCTGTTCCTTAGGGGAGGAAAAAGCCTTCAGCACACCCTCTGCCAGCTCAGGGGGCAGGCACCCAGGGACCCCGCATTGAATCCCGGGGCTTCCCTCTCACTCTTCCCCGGAGCTCTCTGAATGCCCAGTTTGGAACTGAACTAGTTGCTGAGCAATGAGTGAACTGCGTGACCTTGACCAAGGCACCCTCTTCTATCTGGCCATGGCCCCTCTTTGCGTTCAGAGGTTGGGCCCGGAGGTCCCCTGGAGCTCCGCTATTCCGTGGCTCTCGATGGTCAAGGTGTTTCCTGTCTTCAGAGAGTTTGGTAGGAGCTCACTCAGCTCTGCCCAGGGCAGGGCTGGGCTTGGACCACGCTGCCGTCCAGGCCACTGTGGCCAGCATATGCTGGTGCCAAGGGCCGGTGGCAGGAGAACATCCATGGCCTCACAGAGGGCTGGCTGGTGGCCCGGACCCCGCCTAACTTTCCCCGAGATCCTACACCGTTGGCCATTCCTCTCTGCAGCTCAGGTGGCTGCAAGACAGATGAGGCGTGGGCAGGTGACAGGCAGACATCTACTCCCCCCTGGGCCCTGCCATCAGGGACCAGGGGTCATCTAAGACCCCTGCCCCCTCTTCCCTCCCCAGAGCCCACGCCGGACAACCAGATGGTCGTCATCATCTCCGTTGTGTCGGTGCTGCTGTTCTTGTTTGTGACATCTATCCTCCTGTGTTTCATCTTGGGCCAGCACTGGCGCCAGAGGCGGATGGGCGCCTACGGGGTACAAGATGCTTAGGTGGGGCCTGAGTCAGGTCTACTGGCACAGCCTACACGAGTGGCATGGCCACCGCCGCAGCAGCCGCTGGAACTCAGCAGGACTCCTCAGGATTGTGGTCTAGCCCTGGCTGCGGGATGGTTACAAGCAGCCGAAGACAATGGGGTCGTTTCCTTTTCTAGTCTGCATATAAACACGTGGACCCAATCCTGTGCCTCCATGTCTTCTCCTGGGATAGAACTCCACAGCCAGGAAAGGCAAACACCGGGCCTGGACTTCTCTCCCCAAAGGTCTCCTAAGCCTCCCTCAACCTTCTCCCTCACAGGGGCCTTCCAGAGCCCCAGCCAGCCCAGGCCCTGGGGTGTCCCCATGCTGACCAGCCCAGGCACCAGACACCCATCCTCGTGGAGCCCTGAGTGACTCATTTCTCCTGAGGGACGCTGGGGGAGACACACCCTGGCCCAGGAGGGCAGAAAGACGTTCTGTTCCTACTTGGTACTCGGGGACCTCAGGCCACTCCTGCTTGGAGCAGGACGGCTCTGGCTTCTTTTGGCCAAAAGAGCCAGCCTCCCGTGGCAAGGTTGGGCCCAAGGGAACTGGCTCAGCTCCAGGACCCTCCGAGCCAGGCCTCTCTCCCATCACTCTAGGCCTTCAAAGAGCCTTGCACAACAAAAGCCATCCTCCCCTCACCTGCTCTGTCTTTAGGCCACCGAGACCCGACAGCACTGCCATCCCAGATAGGGGTGAGTGGAGGAGGTCAAGGGAGGGCCCTGGTTCCCAGACCCCCAAGGCCCCCAGCTGGCGGCGGCTTCCCAGCTCTGGATGCGCTTAGACGGGCCTGTGCTCCGGGGCAGAGCTGAGGCCAGTTCAAGGTCTCCATGTGGTGAAGAGGGTTTTGATTCGCACAGGAGACAGCCTGGCTGTGGTTGAGGGGTTGGGAGGGGCTTGGGGAGGGCTGCCAGGCATGGGTGCAGAGTCGTAGGCTCTAGAGGGGCACTCAGGGGCTCCAGGGCTCTTTCCAGCTCTGCAATGAAGCTGGCAGGGTCCCAGGGCCGGTGTCTGTCCTCATGGTAGGCTCTCTGCGTCATAGTAGTCTGGGGAGAGACGGCACTTGTGTCTTGGCTCCCGCCTGCCTAACAGGGCCCCAAGGAGCGAAAGGGAAGGGGACAGGCCAGTGGCCTGCAGCAGTGATGACAGGTGCTCCCCGGCCCCCAACATGGCCCTCCTGGCCTCCTGACCCAGCCCTGGGCCCCACTGCCCACCCGCCCTGCCCCTACCTGAAGCGGGGGGGCACATCCGCACCCACAGTGCCTGTGGCACTGGGAGGTGGGGGTGGGGGCACGGTTACAGATCTCCTGACATGGAGGAAAGAAAAGAAAGACCCCCCCCGCATCAGAAGCCTTACCCAGAGGTATCTTCACCCACGCCCAGCTCCTAGTGGGCTCTTCCAGCCCAGCCCCAGAGCAGGACCTCAGCAACACCCAGATCCCCTGTCCTCACTTACCCTCCCCTTTTCCGAGAGGCAGGAGGGCAGTGCTGAATCCTGGCTGTGTCCTGCAAGTGGGGCTGATGTTGGGGGAGGGAAGGAGAAGGGACCAGCCAGGGTAGCGAGGGGCCCAGCATGGGCATCGGGCAGGGCAGGTAGTGGTGGTGAATCACCAAAGGCCCTTCCTCCAGGGCTTGCATCTCCTCCTCCTTCTCCTCCTCCTCCTCCTCCTGTTGACCTTCCAGGTAGACCTGGGGATTGGGGGACAAAGGGAGGAGGGAGGATGAAACAGGACCCAGTGTCCCCACCCCCACTTCTCTGTTCCTCTGACTTCCCCAGATGAGCATCATAAACCGGCTTCCCTTTACTGAGCAGCTACTGTGGGCAAGTCAGGTACTTTGGAGACGTTTTTTCCTTATTTTGCAGGAGGGAAAACTGAGGCTCAGAGAGGTTGAGGAACTTGTCTAAGGTCGCCCGCTAATAAGTGGCTGAGCAGGGACTGGAAGAATCCAGGTATGACTCCAGAGCGGGGTCAGGAGGCCAGCGACCTGCATCTGGTCTTGCCCCTGGACCCACCAGCCCCATCAGGGAGGTGGGGTGCTCATCCCAGGCGCCCCCTGAAGGCCGGGGTGTGAAGAGGGCCGGCAGCCTCCACAGCCTGGATGGTGGACACAACCTGGCCTCCTCCAAGCGCCAAAATCCTACCTGGCTCTCAAGGACTGGTTCCAAGGTCACCTGCTCCTCCAAGGAGCCCTTCCTTATTCCCCAGGGCACGCGCACTCGCTCGTACCTTTCTGCTCTCCCTGTGTCGGTAGGGCAAAGTCGCCTTGTATTCACAGTCATTCATTTATCTTTTTACTTGTTCAACAAATATCACTAGAGCTCCTAATAAGTATTCGGCAACCTGCACACTCGGTACAGGGTGCCTGTCCTCCTAAGCCTGCAGTCTAGTAGGGGGTACACTGGCAGGGAGACCTCCTTGAACACAAGACCTGAGTGCTCTGGATTTGGGGACTCTCACTCCATGCTGCTTTGGGGCCCTGGCACATAACATGCCAAAGGGACCCAGTGGGGACAGCTGCACTGTTGCCTGATTCTTTTTCTCCAGGATCCACCCCAGATGGATCCCCACCCTTGGACTTGCAGGTGGGTGACGCCAGTGGCACACCTGCACCCCACCCCCAGCTGACGCACCTGCGGGTGGCGAGACACTGGTCCTTGGTTGAGCGCTGCGGCCACCAGCCCGCTCAGCAGCAGCTGGTGCATCTGCGCGTTCTGCAGCAACATCAGTTCCAGCAGGTCTGGCGGGCGGGGGGGGGGGGGGAGTTCAGCAGGCCCACGCCAGGCCTCCCACTGCCCACCGCCCGCCCGGCTCCCAGGGACTTACCTCCCCCGCCCCACCCCCCAACGCCCAGCCCAGGACCACGCGGGAGGGAGGTGCAGCGAGGACGCCCAGAGAATGTGCGAAGCAGAGTGGGGTACCAAGGCGGGTGAGCCCGGAGTCTCACCTTCCTTCAATCCACCCGGCTGTGGGGTTGGCTGTGGGACTGCCCACGCGACGGGCTGCAGGACTGTCACCCAGGGCTGGGGGGAGGGGGAGACTCAGCTCTGCGAGGCCGGCAAGGGATCGGACCAAGTTCTCCCCACCCTCCGCCCCCGTGCACCCCGCGAGTGGCCTCGCCCCGCCGGGCCGCCTCGTTCTCCTCCCTGCCCGCACGGGCTCCCGGTTCCCGGAGTCTCCTGGGCGGCTGGAGTCCCTCTCTGCACCCACCCCACTTCCTCCAGGGTTCCGTCCCTCTGGGGACGGCTCCCCAGTTGGCCAACCCCCCAGGCCTCCCAGGTAAAAGCCGGCTCAGCCCTCACCGTCGGGGCGGCACTCTGCGGTGGGGCCTGACCCCAGCTCCCTCCAGTGCCGGAGGCCATGCGGGCACCTGCGGGTCAGGGTTACCTGGGCGACGAGGGCGACGCCAAAGCCTCTTCCCACGCATGCGCAGGTCCCTCCCCGGCGCGGGTGCTCCGGGCGCGCTCTGCTCTCCTCACCTTGGCGGAGGGGTGGCGGGGAACAAGGAGTCCCCGAGGACTCCCTGCCCCAGGAGGCCGCTCCCTCTGCCGGATGTCCACCTCCAACAGCCCTGCGCCGCCGGGCTCCCAGGTCCTCGCTGTACCTCCCACCCGTGCGCACTTCCGGGGCCAAGCCCCGGGGCTCCTGTTTGTGAGTGAATGAGTGAGGGGCTGGGAATTCCGGCGCCAATGCCAACACTTGGTTTTCAGGTCCCAGGATTGGCTAGGATGATGAGTTAAGCAAGAACAGAGCATTCTGTATGCAGGCTTGGCAGGGAAAGGCAGGTGACTGAAGGCAAAGGGTGTGTTCTCCGTCAGTCTGAATCCGAGGGGCATCCTTTGGGCCAGGAGTGGTTTCTGGGGCAGACCAAGGACGGAAACATCAACCAAGTTCACAGAAAAGGCTGGGCCCTGGCCAGAAACAGATGGCTGGCCCCTTGACCCCCCCCCCGCCCCCCCCACCCCCGTGGCTCTTTGCTCCCTCATTCCTGGCTGCTGCTTGGCAGAGGTGGAGAAGCGTGGGGAGATCAGCACCAGTAACCCCATTATTATCCCACATCCTGGAAAAATGACCAAAGCATGCATTCTTTTGACAGGAAGTTATCAAGGTCTTCTTGGCTTCAGAACAGGTGAGGGGAGAGATCTATTTCGGCAGCTGTGACCATCCCAAGATAGGCCCTGAGCAGCAGTCAAGGAAAATCCAGACAGGAAGCTGGGATTAGCACCCTTGAGTTGCCCTTCCCCCACCCTCTACTTCTATTCAGCTCCTCTTCTCAGGAGTTTGGTATCTAGAACCACAAAGACCATTCGGACCTCCTCTCTCGTGTCTTAGTCCCTGGGAGGGGGCCTGTGGACAGAGCTTTAGCTGGGAGTCTTACCACTTCAGTGGCCTTCAACAAGCTGACATCCGGCAATTTGGTGACAGGCCTGGATGGAGTGGGAGGAGCACAGAGGTGCATCTTTCCGTCTTTCCTTCTGCACCCTCATGGCAGTAAGAGGGGCAAAACCAGTCTTTGTGTTTAGCATCAGCAAAACCTTAACCCAGGAGTTGCCTGTAAGGTGCCCTTCTGAACACTGGAGACACAGTGGTGTATTCTGGCTGGTCCCAGCATTGTTGGGAAGTGAAAATGTACTCAGGAGAAGGGAGCGAAAATACAAGGCTCCCGCGGGAGAGTCCTAGAAGAAGGGGTCATATAGAGATGAATTGATCACTGAGGGATAGCGTTCTGAAGCGGACCACCTTGGGATGGGGCCAAACCGTGTGGGAGAGAGAGAGGCAGGCCAGGCTGGGGACACAGCCTGGGCAAAGGCGTAGGGTCAGGCATCGACGGGCTCTAATGATGCAGTGGGCACATTGTCTGACTGTGATGCAGGGTCTGGGCTGAGAGAAGTTCCAGCAGCCCAGCCAGAAACAGGTCAGACCCACAGGCCCAGTCAGGAATTTACGCTGTGCCATGTGGGTAATGGAGAGCTCTTTGTGCATTCTGAGCAGGACAGAAATGGAGAGTGATGTGTGCACGGCCATGTGTTAGGAAGATTCATCTTGTTCCTCACATCTTCGTGTATGTCAACCAGAATTAGGAAGAGCAAATGTCTGACGGGGATGTATCTTCCCAATGGTATACTGTATACATGGTATACAGTTGGTTCCTGAACCCAACTACAGCGTCTCCACCTGGGGATATTTTCTGGCTACAGGTGAGGCAGGCCAGTGACTTCTGGCCAGAAGCAACCCTGATGCACTTGAGGGACAGCAGCTGATGGTAGAGCCCGCTGGCCTCAGTGGGACAACTCTGGGAGAATCCTCCCCCCGAAGTCTGTCAACACCTCCATGTGTCCCAGTTACAACCTACTTACCAAGAGAATATACACTTCAGTGGCTTTTTTCCTTCCTCCGTCATTTCTCCACTCCTTCACAGTGAGTGCTTCCTGGGAGCTCCTTCCAAATAAACTACTTGCTCCCAAATCCTTGTCTCAGGCTCTGCTTTTGGGGGAATCCAAACTAAGACACCAGCCCCCCATTCTCTCTGTCTCTAGGCTGCTAAAAACTCCTGGAAAACACAGCCCTAGTAGCTCTATGATAAATCTGTGTTCAGTGAAGTAAAATAGCAAAACAGATGCTGAAGAAAAGTCATCAGGTAGTGTAACAGCCAATGGATTAAACTGAGGCAAAACCGGTGGTAGGGAGGTCCGCTGGAGGCCACCACCCTCCTCCCTCTAAAAGCAGCCCAGAGGGGCACCTGGGTGGCTCGGTAGGTTAAGCATCTGCCTTCTGCTCAGGTCATGATCCTAGGGTTCTGGGATCAAGACCCATGGTGGGCTCCCTGCTCAGCAGGGAGTCTGCTTCTCCTCTCCCTCTGCCCCTCCTCCGGCTTGTGTGCACTCTCTCTCTCTCTCTCTCAAATAAATAAAATCTTTTAAAAAATTAAAAATAAATAAAAACAGCCCAGAGCAGGCTGGAGGCAGCCGTGGAAAACAGGCAGGGCTTGGCGATTACTTCAGTACCTCAGACGTGTTCTGGAAGATAGGGCTGAGGTAAAATGGTCTGGTTTCCATATGTAAGTAGAGTTTTTTGTCAAACGAAACTGAGCATTTGCCTTTTGAAGAATGGCAAAACTGCACGTGTTTATCTGCCTGAGTTATTTTGCTTATAGATCGGACATTAGTCCGACAGGGGAGGAAGTGACTTTCCAGCCACTTGGCTGGCCCACTATTATTTTCTTTGAGGCACCGAACACTCTACCTATTTCCTTTTCATTTTGTCCCCATGAGGACTCTCGTTCGCATCTTTGCTTTTGTTTTGTTTTGATTTTGTTTTACCGGGTTTTTCGTTTGTTTGTTTCTGAGTGTCCCACAGCGATATATATCAGAAGTCCCCTGTTGCCTCCGTAAATCTATTTCTGGGAATAAACTAAACACGGCAAAAAATTTCTCTTCAAGTGTGTTCATCACAGTGTTATTTTTAAGGGTCGAAAATTGAACATACCTGTGTCCTTCAAGAAGGGAATGGCTGTGTAACTGAAGGTAAGTCACTCAAAGGAAGTTTGTGCAGTCATTTAAAAAAAACCCACAAAACATGAGCTCCTTCCTCTCCTCCTCAGACGGGAATGGAGAGAAAAGAAAAGGACTCCAGTGGAAATTTCAGTGTTTCTTTTTGGTACAGATGAGGAAATGCTGAGCAGAGACAGATGACCGACAGCAGGCCGTTTTCTTGGGCCCCGGTCCTAATGGGAACACTAACTGGAAGGAGCTATTTACATGACTGACTGACTGGCTATGTTGGGAGGGCCTTGAAAATACCACAGTAAAGAAAGTCCAGTTTTCTTCTTAAAGGTTCTGACTGTGTTGTTTCTCCAGATCATGGCTCTCCTTGTGAGCTATGGGGTGGATCCCTGAGCCCCTCCCCTACTCCCTGGAATTGGGGTGCCGCCAACCATGGGGGAAGCACCTGCTGAAGATCCCAAGAAGTCCCCCTGAGTGAATGGCTCAGGGAGGAAACTGAGGCCCAAGTGGGGGTGAGGGGTGGAGGGTAGTGGCGGGGACAGGGTACAACAAGGTCAGGGTGGGATTTTCTGAAAGGTGGTTCTATTCTGCAGAATTCTTGTGTTTGTGGCCAACTGAAACTCAGCCTAAACTAGCCTAAGGAAGAGGGATGCTTTTTGGCTCACGTGATGGGGGAGGATGGTGACAGGGCTGCTCTGTAGTCCCACTGACTCAGGGGTCAAGAAGGGCCTTCAGGTCCCTCTCTCATCTCCCTCACCTGTGTGTGGTGTCCTCGTTCCTCATCCCACATACAGGCTCTTCCACTTGGTGGGAGACATGCCTCAGGCACCTTCAGACTTACTTCAGTTACTCTACACAAACTTAGAGAATCCTGAGGAGAGACAGATTATCTTTCTTTTGTATGGATACACATATATCCCCAGGAGGGACTATGATTGACCTTACCTGTGCCACATATCCATCTTTGGGACCAACCACTGTGGCCAAGAGCGTTTACCAGACCTGGGTGACCTGCCCCTCTCCATGGCCTAGGTGGAGGGTGTAATCAACAGCCATACCAGAATGACATATTTAAGGTAGGGAAAGAGCAGTTCCCCAAAGGAAGGAGGAATATTGTCATTAAGAGAGAGAGATATTCATTCCCCTTGGGCTTTGGGGAAAAGTCTTATTTCACATACAGCTTTGGTTTTCCAGTCAGCCTTATTCCTAGTCCAAATGACACCTCACGCAAATTAGAAACATTAGCCCTCTCCTCCAGATAGTTTGCTACCATCTGCTAGACAATCTATCATCTTAAATACATGAATCTATAATGATAACAAATGTGATTGGTGCCCAGAATTGTACAGTGTACAACCCAGACAACCGAACACAGCAGCCCTCCCCACCCTTCATATACTACAATTCCTTTCAATTACTTCAGCCCCTCATTAAAGAAATTCTTACCCCATAGAGCTCTAGGTAGTGCCCAGGTAGAGACCATAAATGGGAATGACAGCTGCCTGCCTACCTCCTCTCCAGCACCCACAGACAGGGAGGAGTGAGCTACCAAGGGGACAGTAGCCAGGAGCAAAGCGAACTGGAGCCAAGGCAGGGCCATGAGTAATGACAGGAACCCTAGGGAACAGTTCCAGGGAGACAACTTGGGAAGGAAGAGACAAAATGTTTGCTTTTCCTCTGAGTGCTAAAAGAAGAGGACCCATGCAAAGAAGAGGCAGGGGTGTGCAGACACCCGGATCACATTAGCAGAAAAACTACATGGAAAACTTGTGACAGAAAGGTGTGTGAGCCAAATAGCATAAGAACCACACACAGAGAACACCCACTTCACACCTATAGGTTTGGGAGACATACCTCTGAGGGTATGAAGTTGGTGTTGGTCCCCTGGGGAGAGCTGTGGGCA